AGAATTGCCACTAGCCAAAATTTCTCCATTCAAATGTCATCAAATCTGCAATAAGCTTAATTAATGAAGATAAAGGCAGCATTTGTCTTGATGAAGCGAAGCATTAATTGTCTGAAGGTGAGGCTTCAGCTTTAAGGTTAGACAGTATCTGCAGCACAAGGGAGCTGCTTTTCAAGAGGAGGCTTTCTCCAGCTTGAAAGATAAAGCAGAAACCAAGGAGACTCTTCAAAAGCTATTAAAGGTCTTTCTTCAAAAAGAATTTGAATATAACAGCATTTTCTGCACTTACGGAATTAAATATTTGAGCCGGTAAGAGCACGCCCAGCATGGAAACCCAGACTTCTGGAAATCCATGAACCTGGAGAAAGGCTGGGATGTCAACATGGGCTTTGGATTTACATTTATATCCAGGTCTAAGTTTATATTTAGCTGACCAGAAAACACAGATCCTCATGAAGGAGACTCTTTTTTTCCCCTCACCTAATTCCAAGTGAATGGATTAAGACTGTGATCACCTCACTGGGGAGCACCCAGTGCTGCTCCAGGAGGAATAAAGGAGCTGCAGAGGAAGGGAAGATTTACCCAGGGGCACAGCAAGAGGTGAAGCTGGGTCTGCACTAAGCTCCCACCATCTGTCAGCTCACAAACACACCCAGAGCAGGCAAAATTCCTCCCTTCCCGAGCCTGGACACCAGCCTGTGCCCACCACACTGGAGTCAGGCTTGGGATTATTTCAGGGCAAAGGGAAATCAAGAACAGCCTCTGCAGATTTCAGCACCCGCCGCATTTCGTGTTACCAGATCCTGACACTCCAGAGGGTCAAATTAATTGCCAAAGGGGAATCAGCTCCCCAAGTGCAATCAGGGCACTCAGGAGGGGTGAAGGAATCAGAACCTGCATCAGAATCAGAATCCAGGAATCACAAACTGCAAGGAGCTCCACCTGGAATTAATTCATGACTTCACCACAGCTCACAGATGAGTTTTGCACTTCCACTGTTCACGTTGTTTCACATATTTTGCTCCTTTTTATCTTTGAGGTTGCTCTTCAGAGTGAATTCAACACAATAATGCTGAAGTTTGTGTTTTGAAATTTTGAACGAGGCAGACATTTTGAAACTACACACACACACATATATATATATATATGTATTTTTTTTTGGTTTTTAATGCTCAGTAATCACCTTCTTGCTCCGCAAATGGGCACCAAACACGTCAGAAAAAAGCAGAACTCTCAAGACCGGTTTCTCATTTTGTAACTAACTGAAGCCAAACTTTCTGTCAGTGCAATGAATCCGGGTAGTGTGGCACGAGCCATCCCAACTAAACAATTCTGACAGTCACTACTGGCAGAGCTGTGCTTGAACATGATGGCTGGGCATGTATAATGCACGAAAAGGAGACTACTATTAATATGCAAAAGCATTATGCATCAAAAGCCAGGCTGCCTCTGTCTGAAGGCTGTAACTCTTAATGAAAACTGAATTTGAACACGAGTAGTGAAAGATGCTATTTATTTTTTCTCTTACAAATGGACTTTTACCCATAAAGAAACTCCCCACCAAAGACTGAATCTGAAAAGGATATTTCTGCTTTCCTTGTGGCATGATTTAATCACAACAACAGAGCAGTAAGAACACAGAAGGTTTGTTTTCATGCTCTTTGGAAAATAAAGAAAGAATCATGCTTTCCAATTTCATAAGTCTCCTAAACTTGATACTAAAAGAGAGGAGAACTGTGAATCTGATACATGACATTGCTGTGCCTGAGGGCTTAACAGTTTATTTCTGTATTAGACTGAGGAAACAAAATGAAAAAATGAAAATAAAAGCAATAAAAACACCTGAATTGACATAAAGAAACACATAGAATATGATCTAGTTTTAAACTCAGCTGAATAAGAAATTAGAAGAAAAACCTCTTTATTGGCAAATTTTAGTATAAAGTGATAAAACAGGACCAGGCTTCAATGTCCATATAGTTTCTAAACATTACAGTAGTGCATTGGCTGGGGTTTTTGTTTGTGGCTTTGAGGGCTTTTTGTTGGTTTTTTTTTGCCAGGGCTTGCAATGGCTGGAGGAAAAAAAAATTATTATTTTTGTTTTTCTTTATTTAAATAAAGTGCAGCAAAGACTGTGTTAGGATATACTGTTTGTGGTGGCAAGGAGTCAGAATTTTAGGAAACTTAATCCAAGTGGTCCCTCCAAGTTTGAAATGTGCCCTTTCATCACCTGAAGGAGAAAAATTTTATGCATTTACACACAGAGTCCTCCTTGTTTCGTTTCTTTGAACTCTTTTTATTCACAGCTTTCCTTCCTCTTCAACCACCCTTGAAGAGCTCGTTGGCTCTCAGGAGGAGCTTTAAGAGCACATCATTAAAAAATGGTGAGGAAAGCAGAGCCTGTGCTCTGCAGGGCTGGAGCAGCCCAGGCACTGCCCTGGGGCTCCCCCGGAGCCTCCTCCTGCTCTCCAGAGCAACAGCAAAACGAAGCCAAAACTGCCAAAAGCGGCCAGAAAACGCAGCTGCCTGGCAAACTGCAGGGAAGCTTTTACACAATCATGTGATGGAGGTTCACAAATTCCTGGCACTGCTCATCAAATTCATCCTCACAGGACTTGCCACCCCGGCTCCCCAAGGACCGAGCGCAGTCAGGGCGCTCAGGAGGGGCGAAGGCCCTACAAGAATCACAAGTTGCAAGAAGTTACACCTGGAATCAATTCATGGCTTCACCACAGCTCAGTTTTGCACTTTCAACTGCTGATGTTGCTCTGCATATTCTACTCATTTTTATCTTTGAAGTCGCTCTTCAGAGTAATTTAAACATAATAATGCTAGAGTGTGTGTTTTGAAATTCCTCTCCTAACAAGGCAGCCATTTGGAAACCCCACATACATACATATATTTAATACTCAGTAATCACCTTTTTTCTCCCCATGGACAAAAAGACCGTGGGATCATTAGTCATACAGATGTAATCATACTTCAGTAAACAAAAACCCAAGGGCCACTGCTTTTTTTCATTAGATCCTCTCACATTCCCCTCTTTGATGAACTATGAAGATTCACAACAGATAAAGGAAAAGCAATTCAATATAGGACACTGCAATAAGGGGCCTAGTTTGAAATACATTATCTGCAAAGACAGAGAATGTCAGGGTTTATAAGCCAAGATCAGCATCATCTCCTTTTCTGCAGCTATGATGTTATTTCATAACACTGAACTGCAGACAGCTCTTACAAGAACTGTCTTTTTGCTTATAGGCAAAGCAAAAGAAAAATGGTTTTCTATGGGGAGCCAGAATACCTGCTGATCTATCTTAATAAGAGGTTAAAACAACATTCTCCAAGCTGTTTGACAACTTGTTTTTACATTTACAATGTGCTCTTACTAAAATCTGTTTTGAAATCAATTTAGCTCCAGGATTCCCAGGTGGATTTTAGCCTGCTGCTCCAAAGGTCCACTAAAGAGTCACACAATTGAAGCAAACAGGTAATGCTAGCATGGAACACACTCCCAGGCTCCAAATATCAGGAGATTTTTATCAGGATTGAGCCCTTCTGCAGAGTTTGGAAATGCTGGAAATGCACAGTTCCTCAGACTGCATCTGGCTCAACTCTTGTCTCTGCAATGCTGACTGGGACTCCACACAACCCCCTCGGTGACAGCAATTCCACACTGAATCAGGGATGCACACCCCAAGCACTCCTGTCCCACCATGCCAGCTGGCTTTTAGAAACATGAAAATCAGTTTTTTACTTGACTTCTTGCTGGTTCTCCAACCTGCCAACTCCCCGTGGCCACTGAACTGACGTCTGGCAAGTACCAGCTGCAGGGAGAGACCAGAAACTGGGGCAAAGAAGGGCTGGGAGGATGGACACTGGTTTCACTTCCCTTTCTTTAAAGTTCTTGACTAAGCCAAAAACAAATCCTGGCCTTCTGAGCCTCCATGAAAAGCTGAATCCATCTACCCTGGAGCTGTGTGCGGGACTCCAACCCTCCTGAGCACTGCCAGGACACAAACACCGGTGACAGGAGGAAGGAGATGGAAGGAGAGGCTGGCACAGCACAGGATCAGGAGGAAATCACAGCCAGGGGACTGCCCAGGGCAGTCACAGCATTTCCCTCCGTCCCCCCTGCACTGGAGTTCCTGGAATTCAAACTCATCCATCCACAGCAGATCTTGGGGATAAACCACTCCATTTTCATGCTGCATCAAGTACAGGCACTGTCCTCCTCCCTAGAGCTGTGCTGACCATCCTGAAGAGGATGCATGGGAGGCATTTGGGCACTGCCCTGCTCTTGGCAGGCCTGGCAAAGCCAAGGGGCACAGAATTCACCACAGCCAAGCCCTGAGGACAGGGCAGGAGCTTCTCCTCACCCCTCACACAGCTGGCATCACTGGGGATGCTGAGCAAAGATCAGCACAGAAAGCCTTGTGCTGCTGTGAGAGAGACTGGGCTCGATAAGGGAAAGAAAAATGACTCTGCAGAGCTGATGTGGCAGCAGACAGGAGACCTCAACAGCAGCACCAGCTCCAAACTCTGAGAGTTGCCTGGCACAGCAAGAAAAGCAAATCTCTGCACCAGTTCACCAACACCACAGCGCTGCTCCTCAGGGACAAACCTCATTCTAAAGCAGAGTTTTGAGAAAAGCTGCAGCAATCAGCCACAGCAAGAATCTGGAATGTCCAGTTAAAGACAAACACACACTGCAGCTCTTCAGTCAGAACACCTACCATGCACTGCTACCAACAGCATCCTTAATGCTTTCCAGTATCTTCTGCTTGCTCTGAAAGCACGCCCCTATGGAGCAAAGGTTCTTTTAATTCACTCACTTTTAATATTCTGCATTATTTAACACATCTATTGCATGCTTGGCTTCTAAACCCTACATAACTTGTGCATTTCAAAGCCTCTGGGTTCCTCCTCAAGTGCAGCTGAAACCTTGAATCTGGGAACTTATGCACAGCTCTAGAAGAGAAGTTAGAGATCATTGTTACCTGCAAGGCAGCCAACAAACGACACCAGCAACAGCTGCTCCCACAGCAGCAGCATCTTCTGTCTCCTGAATTCAGTAATTCTGGTTGTCTCAGAGGAACTGCGTGTTTAAATCTTTCAGGTGGCAAGGTTTAACCTGTTAAAAGAACAGACATAAAACTGAATCCCTTGATGGTCCTTAAGAACTGGCTTCCTTGTTAAAGCACTTTTAAATAAATACAAAGTTGGCAGATCCTTTAATGTTCCTCTTTTTTCCAGGACTTAATCCCCCAACAGAAGGGTGCATTCATATTTCACATTTTTTCACGTACATGAGGTGCTAGAAGTTTTATTCTCCAGCAGGAGCAGAGCTGACAGCTAAGTTGATTTTGCAGTTCCCACTTCCCACCAAGCTCCTGCACTGATTTATTTGTGAGATACAATGGATTTAAAAGGAGAGAGGACATGAATTGCAACCATACACAGTTCAGCAGCTGGACACATCTGGGAGGAGCAGCTCTTGGCTGCACTTGGCCTTGTGCAAACCATGCTGGCAACACAAACCAAGTCATTTCATTAAAGCCACATCCAGCCCATCCTTTTTGTGATGTACTGGAGTGTGATGTGCTCACTGATGGCTTTTTCAGTTTCTAATTCCTCTTTGGGATTCCTCTAGCTTTAAATCCTCCTTGGAATTAAAACTTGGAATTCCACTTCTACCTTAGTCACTGGCCAGATGATGAACCCTGGGCAGAGGCCCACCAACTTTGCTATGACATTATTTAAAACTTGTAGTTTTTTTCCTAAAGAAGCTTTACAGTAATTTTTCTTTAGTTGTAGGACAACTCTGGCCTTTGTATTTTCTGGATGTCACTTCCACAGCACCTTCTCTCTTCAGAAGAAGGGCAGACAGGCAGGACACAGCCCAGACTAAATGATTCCTTCTGGAATTAGCCTACAGATCACTGCACAGCAATATTAAGGTCAAGAAAGCAACTACTAATTCTGAGGAGCCAAATCTGAGCTGTCTGAACTTGACCTTGATGTTTCCATGTGAACTACCTTTTTTTTTTTTTTTTTAAACACTAGAATTAAGAGTTTAATATTGCTGTAGAACAAGTGTTTGAAGTTCTACCTAAGCTCCCGAGAAAAAGAATTCAAGCAGAGGGTCCTCTCTGATATATCCCCAACCTGTGATTAGCTAAGAGAATTTAATCTCCTTCAAAACACATCACCCTTTGCCACAAGGACAGTATTTTTCTCTCATCCTGCTATCCCTGGCTCCTGTGGGACCCCACTGTCACCTCCACACAGAGCTGGCAGTGGCATCCTCCATCCAGTGTTTAATTTCCCGCTTTCTCATTTTCCCCACGTGCTCCTAAAGCAGAAAGTAAGCAAATCCAACCCTTGACATCTCTATGAAGTAACAGGTATTGATCCCCCAGCAGGAACCTGCTGCCAGCAAAGCTGGCACAGAGGAAGGCTCACTGCAGGGCTGCAGAAATTCCCTGGCACCTCGGATGGGAAGGAGAACTTCCCACCCCAGGGCAGCCCCCTGGGTACAATTCCAGGAGCCTCACCCAGGTTCTCACCCATCTCAGATGGAAAAATGTTGGTGATACACAGCTAAAATGTTACTGGTTTCCAAAAGTGATGGAGAACAATAAATTCTGTTAATTTTGCAGGGTGAAAACCTCAGAACAGAGCTTTGGCAACAGTATAATTCTTCACAGAATTACAGAATATCCTGAATTGGAAGGGACCCTCAAAGATCACAAACCCAACTCTTAGCCCAGCACAGGGCACCCTGAGGGTCACACCCTGTGCCTGAGAGCACAAACTTTTCTTTGAGCCAGAAAAGAAGTGAAGTTCTAAAGAAACCTGTTCTGTGGGACCTGCAGTTCAAGGCTTTACTTTTCTCCTTTTCTGTTTGGTTTTCTGGTGTTGTTTTTTTTTCTTTCCTTAGCAAAGCAAACCCACAAAAAACCCTAAACAAACAGAATCAGAACAAAACAAAAACCCATCTAAAAAAAAAAAAGGCAAACTGAAACAACAAAAAATAAACAAAGATACCACCAAAAAAAAAAACAAACAAACAAATAAAACTTCTTGCTGAAGCTGTAAACTTAGAGTTGGCCACTCCCCACCCTGTGCTCCCAAGGGAATGTTATCCATGACATCCTCCAGCACTGGAGCATCCCAGAACAGCCCAGCTTGGGGCTGCAGAGGCAAATCCTGCTGGAGCATCGCCATTCCAGCCCCTGGAATCCAGAAATTCCACAGCTGCCCCGAGCAGTGAGGGCAGCCAGAAGGGCAGGGAGGGGAGGAGATGAAGCAGGAATATTAAAGTAGGTCACTCTTGTGTGTCAGCTTTCTTACAGTCTTGCAAGAAAAAAAATAAAAATATGGAGAAGCTAAATTAATTTGGTTTTGTTCTCCAAGTGCTCTGGGCAAAGCAGAACATGATAGATCCGTTTCTGGCCAGAAAAAAACTGCTTTGGTAGAAGATAAAAAAATTTGAAAAAATTGAAAGCTTTGTATACGGACATAAAATTGTAAAAATACATCCCATCCTCTGGCTGCACTGTATTTTAATAAATTTTAATATCTAAAGAGAGAATAGTAGCTACCAGCTAACACTGTAAGACTTAAATTACTTTAAACACTTCATTTTGCCTGTGTTCTGTAAGGTTTTGCTAATCTAGGATCTATTCCTGAATACCACTGCTTCATTTGAAAAGCAGCACGCTTAGGAGTGCTCAGATTTCCAGCTCTGAGCCAGATAAATGCATCCCTGTGCTCAATAATGTCTGTTCTTCACAAAGATGCAAACCCAGATGTACACCCAAAGTACGAACTTATTGAAGTTTCTCCTCAGTTCATTGCTTTCCTATAAAGAAAAGGAGCCCCAAGTAGTTTTTCTCTACAGAGAGGTGCATGAAGGGCTACAGAGCGGAGTTGCCCCTGGCCAAGTCAGTGGGATCAGGCAGTTTATAAACCCTTGGTCAATGCCTGGCACTGGAGAAAGCTTCTGCCTTGGAAATTGCTTCAAAAATTAAAAAAAATAAAATAAAAATAAAAGAATCAAATATTGAACAGCACAGCAGCTCAGCTTTGCTGTAACCTTTTCTTTCTTACTGTGATGATCTAAGAATTAAGATCATCATTAAGATGTTAAAACCCCCAAAAACATTATATTAGAAAGTCTGCAGGGAGTTGCATTTTATAATATACATATTGCAATTATTTCTCACATGGAAATAACCTGCATCATTTCAGATCCACTGCCAGTGCAGGGATCCAAAATCCAAGGACAACGCTGAGCATCCCTGTCACCTTCACAGCTCCCACACAACCCCAGCTGGTGCTCAGGTCCCAGCCACTTCCCTCTGGATTTTGTTCCCAAAATGTCCCACCTTACAAATTAAATTTTAATGTAATATTAACATCTCCATATTAAAATATTAATAATAGTTAAATATCTATTATTATAAAGTGACTCTTGATATTAAGAGTCATTTCATGTCCCCCATTTACAGAAGCAAAGGAGAAGATCCACAACATCATCTGGGGGGTTTTGGAAATAAGACTTAAACTGGCTCGCCCAAAATTCAGCACTTTGTATGTGAAGGCCAGAAAAAAATAAAGCCAAGCAGCTCCTGGTGTGGCTGGAAAAGGTTGTGAAGAAGCAAAGTAACAGCCACAGAATATATAAAGGGAAATAGAAATTCAGTTCTTAAATCAGAAAGCTTCCTGTTGTTAGGTAGCGCTCTGATTTCAAAAGGCAAAGTTATTTCAAGGCAGTAAAAAAGCAAAGCTGTGAAGTGGTGTGAAAAACACCAGGAAAAATTAACAGATAATATTTCTGTATTATTTATTTCTTTACCTTTCAGAGAAAAGTCAATTCTCACAAGTTGCTCCAACCATTTTTTTTTTGATGGAAACAACAGGTTATCCAGGAAAAAACCCCAAACAAACAACCAGCCAAACAAATTCAGTAGGATGGGAACAAACACATATAGAAAACATCCAGCTTCAATTTTTTCTTCCTTTTAAATTAGCCTTGCAAGACCTTTGAACTTTCAGATCATATAATATGGCAAGTGATGCACATGAATGTCTGAAAGAAATAAAAAGTTTGGGAAGGGTTCAAGAGTCAGTAATTTTATTCAGTGACCTTAATTTTTACTACACAGAGTCAAACATAAAAAGCAGTAGTTCCCTAAAGGTGGAATTTTTATTTCTATATATAGAACTGGAACTTGTCAGAGCTGGCTGGCAAGTTCATTTTAAATTTGGGAGTTTGAGCAAGAGGAATTTGTAGAGTCATTGTGTCTAAATTAATCAGAAATTCCTGGAATTCAGGGGAGCTATGGAGACCCAGAACTTATTTTTCTGTATTGATTATTGAAAAACCAAGTGATGTCCTGACACTAGAGGTCAGCAGATCTTTGTTAAGGCAGGGAATTATTAAAATCTCATAAAACCATGGAATTATTTGGGTTGGGAAGGACCTTAAAGATCATCTGATTCCCACCCTGCCCTGGCAGGGACACCTTCCACCATCCCAGGCTGCTCCAAGCCCTGTCCAGCCTGGCCTTGGGCACTGCCAGGGATCCAGGGGTAGCCACAGCTGTGCCAGGGCCTCATCTGGAAAAATGAGATTTACTAAAGTCATCTCCACAGGGCAGCATGAAGAGATGAGGTGCTGAACACTCCACAAGAAGCTCAAGCAGCCTATTTTATTCTTTTTCAGGGAGGGGAGTGATACCCATTTCTGATTTACCCTCAAAATGAAATCAGCAGCTGTGAAAAGCGACCCAACGCTCTTGGTTGGAAACACTCAGCTGGAAATTTCCCTCAGCACCAAACCCAGCCTCTGCCTTCTTCAGTCCCTACTCCAACCTGAAAGGCACCAGGGCATTATGAAAATATTCCCAGTTTTGCATGGGAGCTCCACACTTACCTCTCCATGGTTAATTAAAAAGATAATCAGAAAAATGCAACAATCCCAGGCTTTTGAAAACCCAAAGGAAAGGGAACTAAAGCCCTGTGGTTGTTCTCTATTTGTACCTGATTTATCGAGCCAATCTTTCTCTAATACCAGGTAATCTCCAGATTTTGCTTTGATACCAGCCCAGTTCACTTGGATCTGTG